ACACCAGCGGCTGGAACGACAACTACAACTACAACTACAACTACAACAATAGCATCTGAACATAAGGCGCTCTTCTAATGCGTGCAATTACATTTCGTGTTTTATTTCCCAATTTTGTTGTTGCTTCTTTTTAGCAACTACTCATTTGTTTTAACTTTCTTCAAGGGCTTGAGTGGTTTTTTAATAGATTTTTTCGAGCGATGAGCGCCAACGTTTGGACCAAAAACATAGTTTCTATGTACAAGTACAAGCATTATATATAGCAAGTATATATTATATATATTATATATTTACATATATACTTACACTGGTAGTAGTAGTGGTAGTAGTAGTTGCATATATCTGTGAGTTATTTACTCCACAAAAGTACTGACAATTAGAAGGTTTCCAATAAGAGTTGTTGTTTTCATATTCAAAGAAAAATAGATTTTTTTTATCGGATTTCATTGCCTCGTAAAGGAAAGCAATAACAGCCAAATGACCGGCACGGCTACGCCTACAGGACCGTATCCTTTCTGTGAAATTTTCGATCACCAAATCGCAAAGTGGCTGCTGTATACCCTCAAGAGCTTCACCAATTCCCTCTTTGAGGTCTTGAATCGACGTTAGCCTGTTGGCGTGGGCTTTATCTTTTATGTGGCCTTAAAGGAAGGTCGTAAGGTGTTAAATCACAAGTTCCTGTTGCCCAATTGCGATCATCTCTTCGAGATATATGACAGTTCGGAAACCTTTCTCCTAAAAGATCGATGGTTTCGTTGCTTGTGTGGCACGTAGCGCCGTCTTGTTGAAAGTAAACGTTGTCCAGATCAATACCATACAATTCAAATCCAATCACCGAAAATGGAAAGTCCAATAACTGCACCAAACTATTACACGTTTAGGATGAAGAGGCTTTTCAACATTAAATCTTGATGTTTCCGAGCCCAAGATGTCACAGTTTTGCTTATTGACGTAACCATCGCGATGGAAGTGGGTCTCATCAGTCAAGATGATGCATTCACCGACCCGATCAGCAAAAAAACGGCGTTGTTGATGATGGGTCGGCTTGTGCTAACGGAACTTTTCAAGCCTTAAGTCCCAAGTCTGTATGCAATTGACGATGTAATACCCAATTCCGATAAAAAATTGACCAACCTGGGCTTTCTTCAACACTTTGGTCAGCAGCAGCACGTGTTTTCATGACCTTAATTAAATTTTTGGTCCACCACCAGTGTTTATTGATGGTGCGGTGAATTCGATCGAGATTGCAGATCATGCGAAAGGCGAATTTCGTGGAGGTCGTCCAAAATCATTTGCAAAAAATAGTACTTTGTAAGCACGTAAAATACGCGTAATACTCAAAGAAACTTAATGCCCGAGCTCATGTGGTACCTAAGTTAGCAAGAAACCCCCTGATGGACCGAATTTAATTCTGCGCATTGCTGTTGAATCATAACAAACTCAACCCATTTCTGAAGCGGATGGTGACAGTTGATGAAAAGTGGGTCACACACAGCAACGTCTAATGAAAACGGACGTGGTCGAAGGGCAGTGAGCTGATATAAATGGTCTTCGCCTTCTAGTAATACTTCCCGAACTGGACGCAGCTTTTGGCGTTGCTCAACGACAATTCACTCAGCGAGGTCACCATACTCAGGCAAAGTGGAATAGAGTCGGCTCCTTTTCTTGCTGTCAAAAGCAGCTTCAAAATTGAAGAATAGGTGCTGTGTGTCATGGATCCTTTCCAAGATTTCGTACATGGTGAACATAAGGACAATTGTAGATTTTCCAGGTCTAAAGCCGGAGTATCTTATACGCGATATTAAGGAGCGTTAAAGAAATTTCTCTTGGAACCAACAAGCTTAAACTTCCCGCTGATTTTCTGCTTGCGTTGAGTGCGTTTAACAACTGTCCCATTGCTGCTGGCCTTTGCTTTCTGATTGCAGTTGGTCAGGTGTGCGTTGTTCTTTTGACAAGCATCTTTTTTTCAATTTCTCTTAAATCTCTTTTCTTCTGATGGTTTCTCCTTTCATTTGCATTTTGTTTTCTCCAATGATATTTTTCTGAGCTTATCCGCAGCTCTTCACATGTTTTCTCCTTTCTTGCAGACTGCAAACACAATCGTAAAGATGCACTTTTAAGTTTTTTTTTTATTACCAACTTCATTATTTTTTTGTTGCTGTTTTTTTATTGCTATTACTGTCAATTTATTGCGCATGCGCCACACACTCACACTCACCCATACATTCATAGCCAACAATAGTTGTTCACAGTTAGTGGTTGCGTTGGGTAATTACTTACACGCTGTTAATGTTGTTGTTGTTGTTGTTGTTCTAGCTGTTTTTGCTGACGCTTTTCGGTTGTTTTGCAGAACGTAAGGCAATTACCTGCTGCAGGCATTGTTGTTGTTCAATGGCTTTTGCTGTTGCTGTTGCTGTTGCTGTTGCTATTGCAGTTAGTTGCTTTTGTTTTTGTTTTTACCATTCACAGCTAGTTATGCAAATATGCGTTGACTAATTAAAAATGCAATTTTTTTTACATTTTTTTTTTGTGTTTTTGTGTTTGCAAGCTTAATTTTATGCGTAAAAATTTGTTTGACTCGCACAACAGTGCTTTGGCCGTTGCTGTTGCTGTTGCTGTTGTTGCTGCTGTTGCCTATATACACTGCCATTTTATGACCGTTTGGCTGCAAATGTACGCAAATGCATTACGCTCGCACTGGCGGCGTGTTACTACAACAACAAAATGCGAACGTGTGAATCGTTGTTGGAAAATGCAAAATTTGCTGTTAACACCAAAAGTGGATATCAAATTTATGATCGGCATTTGGCAACGTGCCTCATAACAGTTTGTAAAAGTTGCAATTTATCAAGATAATAATTTGTGCGATAAGGCGGTGCCGTTAATTAAGTTTTGAGTGAAGATTTCGTATTTTTTATTTTTTTTTTTTAATTATGCACTGTGGATCCCAGAAGGGAAGGCTTGTCCATTTCATTTCATTTCAATTATCTATTGAGCCTATATTTTTCGAAATCCTTACAGACTAGATATAAAAGCTAGTGACTAACAAAAATTGAACATTTAGAACTATGTATTCATTTTACATACATACATACATATATGAAATCTGAATGGAAAGATAATTATTTTAGTAATCAGAAGCCTCACAGAATGAAATCAAATTTAAAAATCTAAATTAAAATAAAATAATCCATTTATTGTACTAGGAATGGGCTGGTGACTCAGTGTCGCTCCTTACAAGGGTAGTAAGTATTGGATGAGTGCATAAGTTCGTGCCCGATTCCGCTGGATGCCGTTCAAATCGAAATATATATATATATTATATATCGCTGGAAAGATGACAGTCCGAACTGTAAATCAAGCATAAAATAACTTCATTTTGATTTGAGTTGCTTAGTGAAAAGACGCATGAAAGATGGACAACGAAAAAGATTATATGCGTCATATTATGTTATACGAATTCCGCAAAGGAAAAACAGTAGGCGCTGCAACTAAAGATATTCGCGAAGTTTGTTTGGACCGTGCTCCAGCACTCCGCACAGTAAAGAAATGGTTCGCGAAATTTCGTTCTGGAGATTTTAACCTCGAAGACCAACCTCGCAGTGGACGACCTTCTGAGCTTGATGACGATGTTCTATGAACTTTAGTTGCGAATAACTCACGTATTTCGACGGTAGAGGTTGCCAGTGAATTGAACGTCAACAAATCAACTGCGTTTCGTCGTTTAAAAAAGGTTGGGTACACTTTGAAGCTCGATACATNCTATACATGAATGCCACATCAGTTGAGTGAAAAAAACCAAGTAGACCGAATGTCAACAGCAATTTCTTTGCTTCGACGGATCAAAAACGAACCTTTTTTGGATCGGCTCGTGACTGGTGATGAAAAATGGATCCTGTATAACAATGTTCAACGCAAAAGAATATGGAAACAGGCACACGAAGGGGCGGAGCCGATGTCGAAAGGTGGATTGTATCCGATGAAGGTATTGCTGTGCATTTGGTGAGATATCCGGGGCGTGATCTATTTTGAGCTCTTGCCAGCTGGAGAAACGATCACTGCCAACAAAAATTGTCAGCAATTGGTCGAATTGAAGAAAGCAATTGATGAAAAACGTCCGATTTTGGCCAATCGCAAAGGAGTTCTTTTCCATCATGACAACGCCTGGCCACATGTTGCAAAACCGACCCTGGCCAAACTGAAGGAGCTGAATTGGGAAATCATGCCGCATCCCGATATTCACCCGACATTGCACCTTCTGATTATCATTTCTTTCGATCGCTGCAGAACAATTTGAATGTAAAAAAAATTTAAAAATGTGGAAGACGTCAAAAACCACCTTGACACCTTTTCAACGAGAAACCGCGCGATTTCTATGAATCAGGCATCCATAAATTGGCTGAACGTTGGGAGTGGATTGCCGAACATGATGGCGAATACATGATTGATTAATAAAAGCGCTTTCTTCAAAAAATTGTAATTTTAGTTTGCACTTGAAATCGGGCACGAACTTATGCACTCATCCAATATCATATTTCAAGTAAATCGAACAATAAATTCAAATTATTTAAATATATATGAGTCCCAGATGTCATCTACCCGGTGTGAAAAATAGATGTTATGTTATTCTCAGACCTATTGAATATGCACATAAAATTCCATTAAATGCAGCCAAGCCGTTTCGGAAGAGTATCGTGTCTAACACTATTTTTAATTTTGAAATGAAAATGTGATTGACATAAATATACAAGAATAAACAGTAGAATTTTAGAATATAATGAATCCTATGTACTTCTTCTTACATACGGCATACATTCCTTTTGTAATACATAACATTTATTCCTACTGAGTTCAGTAGTCTTTGATGGCCATTTTTTGATGCTGATGGCTTAGGTTGCATAAAAATATCCTAACTGAATATTGCAATTACTATTATTATTATTATTATAAATTTAGAGGTGTTTATATGTACTCCTTATGGAACATAAGAAAGTGGACGCTACATTTCGTATTTTATTTGTTTTATTATTTTATGTGATAAAATTACTAAATTTTCGTTCAGATACTTGTATTAGATAAGATGTGTTTTTGTTGAAGGAACAGTATGCCTTTCTCTTAAATCAGGCCATAATGCATTTCATAATAGTTGTGACATCGGATATTCTCATATTCAAAGTATTTTAAAAAAAGGAAAGGAAAAATCTACGATAAAAGAGTAATTACAAATATGTTAATTTTTAATATATTGCATGTACTCAAAATTGAAGGAAAGGACCTGAAGGAAATATCATCCTAATTGTTTTCCTAAAACTTAATTATCGCTCATAACATCTGCGCCGCGTTCAAGGCAACGATATAATTCTGGGTAAGTGATGATATCCGCATTAGTTAGATTGCCACCGTTGTAGAAGTCTTTATAGATCTGTAAGAGTAAGAGTAAGGCAATTTTTTATTAGCCCAAAAATAATAACCACAATTTACCATCTGTACAATTTTGTTATTGCGTAGCATCTCAGTTCGCATCTGCATCCAAGTACGTCTCAAGCGTTCTTCCGCCTCCGATATAAATCCAGGTGCCCAGTTCTCTTGAGCACGAAAACGGGACAATCGATGACGTTCGACTATTGCACGGGGCATCGAAGCACGTTTGCGGCGGCGCTCTTCAAGCTTCATACGCCTTCTTTGACCTAACATTACTTCCATTTGACGTTGTCGTTTTTCTTCGATTTCAAGACGCATCTTTTTGGCAACTTCCTCCCGTTTCTTGCTTGCCGCTGTCTCGCCATAAATTGAAGCTTGATTTTGCAGTGCAAAGAACTGACAATAATAATTGAGGCGATCAGGGTCACGTGGTGGCATAATACGACGAAAGTCACCCAAGTGGCCCTCCTCCCAAGCAATTTGCTGTGAGAGTGCGCTTAGACCAGCTTCTTGGGTTCCTTCCTCAAGTGGCGGTGGTTCATCACTATCTCGTGCATTGATATTACTTTCCGGAATAACGCCGTAAATAGGATGCTGCCGTTGAGTGTTTGATGTCCTGTTCATAAAGTAGCACGATTAAATTATGGTTCCTCACAATATAAGGGTTGTGGAGAACTTACGTGCCACATTGTTTCAATTTCAGCAAACGTTGCTTGATTCGTTTACGATCCTCACGTAATATTTGCTTTTTGTCCGCTAGTGGTGTACTTACCATTAAAAGTGTGTCCCTAATCAGCGCCTTCTTCACTTGCCTATCGACTAATTCATGTGTGTGATAGCTTGGAGAGTGATTAACTTCGAGAACATAAGGTTTCATCTTTGAATCAACTAATATATCAAAGCCGAGAATTTCAAAGCACGCCTGAATCTTATCATGTGACGGGAAACATGCATGATAATTATGTTTCAACATCGGCCAAGCGCTTAGTATTGTCTTGATGATGATATCGTCGATTTTACCCCAAAACTCGTCAACTTCATAATTGCGACACCGCAGCCAGTTATTGATAGCGCAAAATTTTCTTTTACTACCGCAGTCGTCGTTGTCGCACAGATCATACTGAGAGCTACGCTTGTTCACCGAATAGTTGGTGAGATGCATGAATAAATCACAACTGTTTTCGATTGTTGGCTCCACGTATTTGCTCGTGGCGAAGCGCGCCAAACCTTCGTTGTATACAAAAATTCTTAGTGGATCGACGGATGTGATTAGTGTATAGACGCGCAAGTCGAATTTGTAGCCATCAATCAATAGGGGCTGGATAGTATGTATAAGAAACTAAATTTTTGAAAATATGTATGAACAATCTACATACCGTCGCTGTACCGAAAAAACTGTTACTAGTCTCTTAGTTACTCATTGGGCGAACAATTCTCAATTTATGTAAAGTTATATTAAACATAATAGTAAAAATAAATAATAAATTGGCGACGGCGGTAGCCGAGTGGTTAGCATTGCGTACTGCCATTCGGAAGGCCCGGGTCCACATCTCCGTGCGACCAACATCCAAAAGTTATAGAAAATTAATTTAAATAAAAAAAAATTAAGTTTAATTTTCTAACTGCCGTCACCTCTCGGAGGGAATGTCAACCCCTACGAGTGTATTTCTGACATGAAATAAAGGCTCCTCGTAAAAAACCATCAGCCTTTCGGAGGCGGCTTAGTATAAACTGTCGGCCGAAAATCGCTTCAGCGGTATATATATATATTAAAAATATATATATTAAAAATATAATGTTTTAACGATTAGCGAAAAAATAAAATTAAACGTAATATACACACCAAGATAAATTTTTAAATTCGCCTTGGTTTAGACAAAGAAGAAGTTATGCCATTATCAGGAAAGCGTAGCTTTTGAGTGATTATCATATTATCAGGTCAAATGAATTTTTAGAAGTTTTTTCTAAAGTCCATAATTTTTTGGAACTTCTTAGATATATAAAACGGCAATTGTATTAAGAAATCTGGTCAATGGTTAATATCAATAAAGTGTGTTAAAAAATTGGACTTGTCTTATCGGCCTAGCGACGATACGCTTATATGTCTACCTTATTTATATATGTCTGACATATCATTCGTTCCGAAGGATTTATTGATTTCAAATCGTTTGTTAGCCAAATTCCACGACCCATAGCGCCCGAGTCCGGTTTTATTATAAATGTTCGAGGCTTGTTTTTATAGTTATTATTCGCATAGTTTATTGCATCTCCATAACTTAGAAACAAAAATATAAAAAATATAATACTTTACATACATACATATGTGTGTTAACAAATCGCAATGATTATTAAGTTTAACCGCCTAACTCGGGTTATGATGGAAATAAGTATCGATTTTTAAAGTTTCTATATTCAATAGAATAATAATTGTGTATGGAAACTTGAAACTTCTCAATAGTTTCATTATCCGATTTACGCAGTTATGACTTATAAAAAGAAAAAGCTATTTACTTACTCAGCCGGAAATATCCATGTTTTTGGAAATATTTTATATTCACGAGGAAAGAGTTTTAACATACGATTCAAATTGCGCGAGAGCAAATCTTTGCGGCAAATCTCCATCATTCCTGGATAGTGGTTGATCTGTTGAAAACGTTTCATGCTCTTGTACAATTCTACTCCTGGCAATGTATCCGTCCACAAAATATTCCAAAGCTTAGTTTCTTTAACCACTTTAAAACCTAATGTCTTGGATACCCGACCAATCATGCTATACCGTGAATTGGATACGCATATGCTACCTTTAATGCTACTGAAAAAATACGGAAATAGGACTTTCATTTTAATTAAGGTAATGTGAAAAAAATCTAAATTCTTTTTGCATAAAAGTATATATATATAATAAATATGTATGTTCTCAGGAAATTTGGTATCGAAAATAATGTACTTTCCATGAAAAAAATTAATAAAAAATTAAGGTAACAGTAAAACCGATACAATAGTAATAAGACATACGATGTGTTTAAAATATAACATATGGATGGAATGAAACTTAAATGTCGAATTATAACCAAAGAATGTTAAAATGAGTAGACGCAAATCCGATTGCTTAACACGAAGAAGGCCCATTAGGGTACCGTGTGGAAACAAAAATGCGACCCATTAAAAATAAGTTGAATTTATTAGAAATAATGAAATAAATAAAATAAGGGGGGAAAAATAAATGAGAGACAAAATCATTTGCGTTGGGCTCGAACTCGGACTAATTACTTCTTTTCAACAAGCCGATGTCCTCGTTATTATCAATGGGATCACTGAATTAAAAAATTTGAACAAAAAAGTTAAAAAAGTATCTAGGAAATGAAAATTATGTATAGAAAAAAATTAACTTCAAGTAAAAAATATTGCACCCTTCGGGTGAGAAACTCACCTTAAGTATTTAAGATTTTAAACTTAAGTTCTAAAAAAATGCAACCGTGGCCTTCCAATATTCGTTACTTTTTTTCTCTTACATAACTGTAAAGCTTAACTTGAATTTCTTATTCGCAAAATTTTCTTTGAGGTAAGCGGTAGGCCTTGGTCAAGTAAGTATTACAAAAAGTATTGTCATTAATAAACTAAAACTTAATGTAACATTTTAGAGAATAAACACACACCCAATTATAGTGATAAGAAGAACATAGGAGTTTTATTCAAAAAGGCTTCTCGTAAGGAAAATATTTGCGTTTCAGTTACTGCCGTAACAATTTTATTCTTTGAACAAGTCTACTGGTCAAATACATTCATACACACATATTATCATGGAGAGGTCCGCAACGAAAAAAACCATTCACGTCACCAACAGTGACGTGCGATGACTGCTTCTTTGATCACTACCAGACCCATGCGCTTCGCTTCTCTATCAAGCTTGGTTGATGATGCCGATAATGTCAATAACGACATATACCATTACTTGTACACTCTTATAGAAGATTGTACCTTCTCTATTCCGCTCTGCAGCTCTTATTATTCTCTCCAACATCGAATTGAAGAAACCACACGGCAAAGAGCCACCCGTTTGTTGACGGTGTGCTTTCGTCTTTCACACAAAATAAGGAGGCTTATCCAACGGTAGTTGGGGCACACTGGGGGATCGTCCTCTTTGTGGATTGGGCAGAGTACACTTAGGATCCATTCGTCGGGCATGCTTTCATCGGAATATATTTGGAAACAAGCTGATGCATGCACCTTAGCAGATCTTCACCGCCATGTTAGAATAGCTCTGCCTGTAGGCCATCTGTCCCAGCCGCTTTGTTGATTTTTAAACAGGCAATCGCTATTCGAACTTTGACATGGTCAGGAAGCATCACTTTGTCAAAATAAAGTCTTAATTTTAAATAATAATAAAAAAATTATAATTATTATAATATCGAAACAGTAAACAATAAAATTAAAAATGTCCTAACTAATCTAACAAACTACCGACACATTTCTATTACCTAAGTCTCGTATCATGTTTGGCTGTAACATCCCTGCAAGATCGGGGCTAATGGGTCCACCAATCCACTCACACGATTTCGGGCTGCACTAACATTATTTTTCTCTTCTGTGAACATAAAAATTGAACGGATAATCCGTTTTATTTTATGTTCTTATGTTCGATTAGAACACCATTTTTATCATTTTCTCCGTAGCAGTTAGCAGAGATCGTAAAGAAGTGAAAAATATGGATAATGATCCTTTACAAGCTGTGGTAATAATGTAATATATTGTCGATTAATTAACTAACTACTTGCAGCAGCAGCAGTTCTCAAAAATATTCAACAAAACTCTACGAGGTACAACTGTATATAGACATTATTAATGTTATAATTCGAACCTAATTTTTTTATTTTACATAGACGTCTTTATACTTCAAAGGAGCCGCGATTATTACTGAATCTTAATAATTTTTGTATGTACATATGTATATACATATGTAGGGAAAATTTGTGTCAAAGCTGATTTCCTTCGGCATCAATGCTGCCGCTTATCTGTGGTCGGCTTGTACGGCACCGCTGCGTCTTTTTACACCAATATTGTTTTCGCCAATATTGTTTTCTTTTGGTATCAATACTGTTGGTCAGCTGTGTTTCGTTTGTCCAACAAGAATGACGGAAATGCATAAGGAAACGAAGGGAGAATGACGTAAACGTATACAAATGTAAACATCTCATTTATCACTTCGGCCTTAAGAAGGTGATGAGAAAATCGTGCTACAAGCTGACGGGATGTGGCATGAATTCTTGAAATACATACTCTAGCCGTCATAAGTCAACGCTCCTATCAAAATGAATTTTTTTTGTTGAAAACTTAAAAACCATTAGCAAAATAGTTGTAATTTGCCTATTTCTTATTGGTTACTGTCTGTTGGCGCCACAAATCTTTTTACCTAGACCAGCGTTGCGTTTAACAACGGTTCTTTTGTCGGGTCAGTTCAGTAAAGTGTACGCTTATAACCTTTCAACTTAAGTTTTAGTAGTGTGCATACATCAAATTATATTTAAAAAAAAGCCTTTATTATATATATTAGTGTTATTGTTACCACTTTAGAAAGGTTTTCTCTTTATTCGATAATTTTCCTAAAAGCGATGCCGAAAAGAAAAGAAACAGACATTGGCGAAAGAAAAATTTTTGTAATACTTCACGAAGAAGGTCAAAACTACCGGAAAATAGGAGAAACTGTGGGTAGAGCATGGACACCAATTCGCACAGTTGTTATAAACTTAAAAGAGATAGGACTTCGAAACCAAGATCTGGCCGACCTTCCAAACAAACACATAGGGAAACACGAAGTGTACCGTCTCTTGTAAAGCCAAATGCCTTGTTCGCATATCTAATAATTTTAAAATTTAATTTGCGACAGGGCATTGAAAAATTGGGATTAGATAAAGAGTATTTTACCTGCAAAAAGACAGTGGCCTCAAACATACCGCTGAAATTGTCCGCCTCTGGCTCCTTTATATAATCTCTTAACAGCACGGATTTCAATAGAGCATCTGCGGGCGTAATATAAGGTAACATGGCATAACAATTAAATCAATCTTGAAAGAAGTCATCAAGGGGGAATGGGTAGAAATGACATCTGAAGAGACTACAAAGCTTGCAAAACAGACTGAGGGAAGTTCTTAAATGTCGAGGATTCCCTACTCGTTATTCAAGTATTTTATATTTTACGAACCTTTAAATTATACCTATTTTTGAATAAATTTTCATTTATGACGCCTATAACTCTGATCTTTGTGGCAAAAACTTAATTTATTTTCTAACTGTAAATATTACATAGAAAAATGTTACGTCGCAATGCTCCACTGAAGTACGAAATTAGTTTAGAATAAAAAAAGGAACTTTGAAAAAAATGTTTGGTCCTTTTTTTTGAAATTGTAAAAGAAATACTTAAGGAGCATAGACTTATGACGGCTAGTGTATATGTATAAGTTCAATAAAATAAAAGGACTGCGTACCATTGTGGATTTAGCTACAACCGTGTAAGCCGTGGCTACGTCTCTTAAGAAGGTGTTATATTTCATACCAGATTATATTTTTAATAGTCATTCCATTCATAGAACTTTTCAATTGAACACTGATAGGTACCTTCCGGTTTGGGAAGCGTTCGTTTGTATAGTAGTTATGTGTTAGATTTGAAACTAAAAGGAAATTCGAAAAAAATTGTGTTTTATGTGGTATTCTGCCTGACTATGGTAGCATTCTAAAGAAACATGAGATTCATAAGAATTGAAATGTTAAGCTTCTACTCACGGTAAAACAGGTTTCTCATCCCGTATTGGCGATGGTTTTGCTGCACAGGCACATTTCAAGCGGAAACACACATTATTTAGTTGTATTAAGCCATTTGAAATATCATTTATTTTCTCATTATTCTCTAAGCTTTCATATTTTTCCTGTTCGAAATTCCCATTGTCCTTAAAACTTTGTCGCTGCGTCGAGCGCACACAATCGCCATTTCGTTCTTTTAAGGCATTTTCTAATTCATAATCAATGTGGACACCACGATTTTTCTCTTTACGTAATTTATCTTTGGAGAGCCGACGCAGCTCTTGAATTCGCCTAAAGAACTTGGAGTTTTTCAAATTCATTTTTTGCCAGACCGATATATTACTGTTTAAAATGTTTTAGTGTTAAGACACAATGGTTGGTAAAAATTGTTTATTAAAAGGAACTGAATATGCTATTTTCGTTGCTGATTATAAGCAATCTTCCGGTTTTTGCTTTCGATACAAGATTGACTACAGATGGTCAAAAATTTGCTGTCCGAAATCGTATTAAAATATATTAGGTTAAAAATTTTATTTCTAGCAAAATTTAAAACATTTCTTAGTTTCAAATTGTAAATTTGATTTTTTTTGTCGAAAATTTTGACGAACAAAAGAAAATCTTTTTGCGCTCTGCCTTTAGTATTGAAACACACTGAATAAATTATTGACTGTGATTTTTTTTCGAGAAAAATTGGAAGATATATATGTACATATGTAAATACGTGTGTACATATGTATTTTCACTAACATGATATTGTGCGAAGAATTTCGCTTTGTTTCTGTGAACTTGACACTGACACTGTTCTAAAGACTTACAAATTTTCAAAAATGATGATTTTCGATTCAAAAAACTAATGCTCTTTTTATTTAGGATTATACTAACCCATGATTCAATAAATAAAGGTTGGATTAGTAAACAGTTTTTTCGCACACTCTTGTCAAAAAGGCTCCCTTACTGAAAAACGATAATGCTTCTTTGTAAAAAAAAGCATTTTTTAGAACATTTTTTTAAAAAGTAGTTAAGTAGTTTTATTTTTTTTATGAAAACATTTGGTAGACTTCACATACTTTTTTCTGATTAGTTGATTCAATATTTTGACAATTGTTTAATTAATTGTAATTTAAAACGACTTTTACAGATAAAACGATTTGGTCAGCTCTCCACCGCTATGCCGTCAGCTCCAGCCGCTTTGATATTCAATTGGGGTTTCGATGCTCCCTCCCTGAATTCAGTCGTCACTAGATCACTTCCATGGGTTCTTCAAGAGTATGATCCAGTCTTGAAAACTTTCATAAGCCGGCGTATCTTTTCGTAGAATTTCAGAGCAATATACCCATCGACCAGCTTCTTACGCTCTTCATACTCACGCATTTTACTCTCTTTCCTTTTGCTTGCAAATGCGTCTTGGTTCCCTCTTCAGCTCACTGTATTTATCCAACCCCACAGGTGTTATGGTCGATGGCAAGGTTTCGAGGTAGACTAAAGAAGGCACGGCAGTCCACATCGTACCGTCTGTTTTAACGACTCTTTCGATAACCGATAGTTCGTAGCGGGCTGTTGTGATTACAGCGTTCACTGTGCTGAATCTAGTACTAAAGACAAACATATTTCGGACTCCAGCGAAGTCGAACAGCCTGAACCCACTTGGGGATGTTTTGTTGTTGAGGCTGAATTTTGCGACAGTTGTGCCAAAGATATCCTCCCAACGTTAAAGTCGTTCTTTTCCGTCGTGTCGTGGACGCAAGTCAGCGTTGTGTTCAAAAATTTCCTTGACCGGAGTGAATGCCACTGAGTCCCTCACCCACAACAAATTCTTTATACAGCGCTGTAGTATATTTCATAAGGACCAACCTTCTTCCGTTCTTGTGCCGTCCATCGCACTTCTTGGACCGCGGAGATGTTAGCTTTTAATTTTATTAGGACTTCAACCAGCTGTGCCACGGCTTAAATTAGTTACATACAACTTTTTTTAATTTAATCAATTATTTGTTATATATTTTTGCATATATATATACTATATATATATACATACATTCTTTTAATTTCAAAGGTACTTAATTCGTGTTTTAAATAATTGAAATACAATATATACCATGTAAATTGCCTACTATTTCTTTTTGTTTTTAACTACTTTTATACTACTTTTTCTCTGTTTCTACCATTTTTAAACCAAAAATATGTTGAGTGTTTTCATATTTTTTAAATGTTTAAACGTTCAAAAATCACATACTGTATTGTATTATTCAACCTCTGATAATAAACTTCAACGAGTGTATGCCTTTCATAATTGTTGTATAACAACTTTGGTAAATTGAAAGAATGTATCAGAAAGGGAAGAGATTTCCTAGTTTTAGAGATTTTTCAAGGAAATTTTTTAAGCAAACAGGATATTATTTTAAAAATAGTTGGTTTTATAGAGCATCGCAAATATTCCAAGCAGTTTTGAATTCAAACCAACCGTCAAATATATTGATATTAGTCAGTTAGTTAGTTAAACATCACGCAACCCTGATCTCTTGATAATACCTATGTTGGTTCAACGAAGAAGATTCCTCTCTTTCTCTCTTCTCTCTATATGCTCAAACCCGTTGGTGTGTTTTACGAAGTTCAGGAAATTAATGATGCCTAGGCATCCAGAAATCGAAGAAGAAATTTCCGAGAAATCGATAACAGGCCGCAGAGCTTGCCGGGGCTAGGACTATCCTAGGACTAGCTGGGTGTCTCTATAACCAGAGCCCCAAACTACGAACTTTTGGTATATAGTTGAGACAATCTAAAAGCATAAGATTAAAAAAAAAAAGGAAATTGACAATTTGTTCTATATTATTTATCTATCTAGCAAATCCTTTTCTTACTTTTGCCGAATATGAAAAACGGCTTGAAACAAATATTTTAATTTATAGCATCTGCTTCGAAAATAACCCAAGCTAAGATAAATTCGGCACATTTTATATCGTTTTATTCACAGATTCGTTAGTTAGAATGTGGTTACATTTCCATTCAAACCCCGATTGAACTCATAAAATTAGAAAAATATGACTTCCATCACAGAGTACGCTCTGAACTCGAATTTTTTTCAGTTTTTTGTAACACACAATAACATCGATTTCCTAGGAATTTCTTATTTTTTAATATCCGAACGTGGAAGCAATGCCAAAACTAAAACATAATCACATGACGGAAATTAAATTAAAGATCCGAATTAAGAGTAGTAAGCGGAAGGCTCTAAATAAAATTTTGGCGACTAAAATCCAAAAATTCCCTCCGGCCAGGGATTATCACTCCCGCAACGTTCCCCAACAAGGACTTTAGGAATGTTTTTTGCGACTACAGCAGCAATAAAAATGTAACTTAAATATTTACCATTCAGATAACTATGATACAAGTTATTCAAACATTAAAACCCCTTAATAGTGAAATAAATTATAGAAACAATATGGTTTAAAACTATATATATGTATATATAGTATATATATTTTATTTTATTTTTTTAATAACTATGTGTATATGTATAATATAAAAATATGTTAACGAAAATGTATGCTTAAATTTAGATTTTACCATAAAAATTTCTTTGAATTCATACATTAATTCATTCAGAATACTTGTAATTAAATTCAATTATTGATCGAGCATTTTTATTCTTATTACAATATCTAATACATACATATAAAAACAAAATTGTTTTTCACAAAAAATAATTCAGAATTATAAATATAATATATACCAAGGCGAATTTATAGAGGTGAAGCCTTCACATCGGATGATTGCTTGTTCTTCCTTCGATCTCAACAAATTACACAAACAACATACATGAGAAATATTACGATACTTTTTATTACACCAACAAAATAAACGAGTTTCGTTTTTCTCTTTTCAAACCTACGATTACACACTCAAAATACATAGGCTTTTTCTTTTTGTATTCTGTATGTAAATTGTATGTAAATTTTGTATTTTGTATGTACATTTGCCTTGATATATACCTGTGTACGTATGTAAATGTCGAAAAAAATTTCGAAAATGTCCAAATGACCGGAACACATCAAATGCTGCATATTGTGCCCAAAATGTACAATCCCCCCACTTTTATCTTTCTTAAGATATTAAAGAATGTGCGGATCTACTTGCGGTAAATGTATTTTATAAAAGATGATTAAAATACCGTCCGTTGAGCTTTATGAAAATTTATACCGTCAAATCAATTGAAGTAATACATATTTGTTAACTTAATATTCTTAATTTAGGTGTTGTTGTTTTTAGAGAAGTCTGGACTGTTCTGGACATGAAGAAGTTATTTATGGATAGTGTTATACTACACAAATATACATAAATGTCTCACATACATATATTAAGGCACAACAGGAATGTTTTTTTTTTTTTTGTAATTATTTTCCTTTGCATCATTTCTAGTCGGGATATATCTTGCAAAAGTTTATTGTGTCATAAACGTATTTCATCTCTGGGCGGTCGTCAGCTTCAAAAGCCACGCACTGTGTACCCAATAAAATTAAATTTTTACACATATCACGCTCATCGTTTTGTATGGGTTGACGTGCATCGATCAGATTGACAAGTTCATCTTTACGTACACATTTAACAAATTCTGATAGCAAGAGCGGTCTGCGATGTTGGTCAACCGCACGCATCCCTGTAAATGTTTCTAATAACATAACACCATAACTATAAGTATCCACTTTTGTGCTAAGCTTTTTTCCCCGCAAGAACTCTTGGGGTAGATAGGGTCTTGTGCCGTAAACTTGGGAAACGGTTACCGATCGACTTACAGCAGCGGGACCTTCGCGTGCCAAACCAAAATCTCCGATACGGGGTGTCAAACATACATCCAGCAACACATTAGCTGGTTTGATGTCACCGTGTATTAGCGGTTTGACATCACATGAGTGCAGGAAGTTGATTCCACTGTAGAATTTAAAATAAGAAACGTTTATAATAAAATTAATAATACAATTAACCAACCGGGATGCTCCTAGGCAAATTTCGACACGCTCCTTCCAAGTCAATGGTTTCTCTTTTTTCGCATATAAGCGCTGCTCCAATGTTCCGCCCTTCATTAGTTGATATACCAAACAAGGTTTTTCGCCATTTAATGAATAACCAAAGAGTGGTAATACATTATCGTGGCGATAACGGCTCAAGTGTTTTAGTTCATTCAGGCTTTGTTGTAGTTGAACTTTGCTGCTATCACGTCCATTCACTGCGTTATATTGTAACTGTTTCACAGCCACTTCTGTACACTTCCATGTACCTTTATAAACGGTACCGAAGCCCCCTTTGCCTAGCTTCAAACGCTCGCTCCAATTCTCGGTGGCCTCTGTTAAATCATCATAACTAATCTCGATCATATAGCGAGCGAATTCACGTACATCTTGCTCAATACGTTGTGTAGAGGTAGGTGCTGTTTGGTCGGAAGAGGAATATGAAGAATTGTTATTTGAGTTACTCACACCAGAGGAAGAAGAATTTATGGGTCCATTAAGTTGTTTGATATCTGAATTCGCCATTAGCATTGTCAAACGTGGTTGACTGCGGGGTATTAGAAGTTGATATTTACGTTCTACAAAGTCCTTCAGCATTCGCATAGCATGATGTTGTTCTCTTCTGCAATTTGCATGTATATTAGTATGTGTATATAAGTATAAGTTTTATGCAACTGACTTTAAATATAGAAACGGGTTCCAGTTATGGAGCAATTAACTACTTACTTCCACAAGAGCATAAAAAGTTCAGTCACTGTATGCTTGCACTCGATGCCCCACTTTCGTATCAAAAGCCATGATGGTGATTTACCCAACTCCTGTTGTTGTTGTATAAACTGATATAACCAAAATAAACGAAAGAGCAAAATGTATGTATGTATGTAGTTACAACGATAGCGTCAATAATAACTTCAACGTCAGCTTTAGTGAATGGAGTTGTCGCCGGTATATCTTGCTCACCTTCACATCTGCGGGTCGTAGTTGCATAACTTCGGCCAGTTGCATCCAAACTTGCATTTCGTCTAAATGTTCACAAAGGAGTCGCAACTGCTGTGATGGCAGTTCGTCAATGTAGCGATCTTTGATGTATCCACTGCTGCTGCTACTGCCCCCTGCACCACCGATAATGTTACTTCCATTTACAGTGCTATTGCTTGCTTCAATGTTTCCACTGTTGTTAGGAGACAGTGCACTTCGGGAACGTTGTACGGACATGGTTTATATATGTATATATAACTATATATCAATACAAAATTTTGTTAATTGTACGGGTTTCTCCTCGATTACAACTTGATTTTGGTTGACTCATACACGTATCTACCATGCACTGTTTAGGAGTTCTTTAACAAAACACTAACAGAAAGTAAGCTATGTAATAAATTTATAATTTTACAAAATTAGTAAAACATAAAACATTTTGAACCAATTTTAACAGCTTAAATTTTAAAAATATATTTTTATTACAAAACAGTACTCATGCGATGCCGTTACAATACTCGTTTAATAAAAGTAACATCGCAGTCCGGTTGCACCTATTCCGAGAAAACGTAACTATAAAAATATAAATAAACCCAAAAACCAATAACACCATATACATACATATATGTATGAAAATAATTGACAAACAAAAGTGACAGCAGAGATCGTATAATAATAATAAACGTTCTCTGTTGACGATCATGGCTGCCAATATTTTTCCGAATTGTTAATCTGCTGTAATGCTGTAACTACTCATGCTACTCATTTTACAAATTTCACAGCCGTAACACCATACTGGAAGACGGATATGCGTTCACGAGTTATCCACGCTGTTAACAATAACGAAATGTTGCCAGCAGCCAGTGTGTTTGCAAAATTTTAAGCTAATTAATAATTTTCGCCAACAAATTTCATAATTTGTATATTCGAATATAAACCGCATTCAAATACATACATATATACTCACGTGACTTAATTGGTAATAAATAATTAATTAACATTTCCGTTTTTATTTATTTTGAAAAAAAAAAAACTCATTTTCACTGTTTATTTCATATTCGCTTAAAGTAGTCAGTACTGGTAACCTTGTATAACAGCGAGCCGTGATCTAAAGCGGTTTTACGGAGAAAATCTAAGGCTGCAACTACCCAACTCACTCTCCAGCCGTCCATAACTGACGACGTTAGTAGTGAAATACATACACGAGCTATCGACGCTGCTGAGAGCGGCGAAATGTTGCCAGCTGCCTGTGTGTTTGCACACTTTTGAACAAATTCATAATTTTCGTCAACGAATTTCATAATTTATTTGCTTTAACATAAACACAAGGCAAATATACATGATCTATATAGTAACAAATAATTAGTTACGCATTTAGTTTTCATTTCTTTTGAACAAAACTACGCATTATCTTCGATTATTTAATGTTACTTTAAGAAAGGCTATACTGGCAACCTTGTATAGCAACGAAAAATGAGCCGAGCCGGTTTTACGGAAAAATCAAAACTTCGTTGGTTTCTGCGACACAAACGTCAGCAACGCTATGGTAAATCGGTGACAACTTTGTGTTTACATGGCGCTCTCATAAGATAGGTTACTATGGACGGCTGGTACGCGCGTTGGGTAGTTGCAGCCATAGCGTTGCTGACGTTTGTGTCGCAGAAACCAACGAAGTTTTGATTTTTCCGTAAAACCGGCTCGGCTCATTTTTTGTTGTTTACATGGCGCTCTCATAAGATAGGTTACTATGGACGGCTGGTACGCTCGTTGGGTAGTTGCAGCCTAATGGACATTCTAAGTTCTCTGGTTATGCGTTATCTCGGGTTTCAACCCGTTTTTATCGGGGAAATATTTTTTTTTACTATCCCAGCAAATACGCCAACCAAAGATGAGCTTTTTGAAAGCTCATTACCAACATATGTTTTTGACAATAACCTGATGACATAAAAAAGCATTTCTATGAATAAAAAATATAAAAATATGAAAATTTTTGACAGATTCTTGTGATAAGCATTACTAATTCTTGCGAAGCAGGGCCGTAACTATAAAATGTCTTGTTTGTTAACTGAAAACAATCGGCCGCTTTAAACTTTAAATGTTGGAACTGATATGATGTAAAAGTATATAAACAGTGCGTAAAACTAAATAGAATTTGAAGTTCTGATGCGACTACTACATCTGTCTGCAGATATCGGGCGTTTATTGCTTAACATTTTTTCCAACGGCAATCATCTGTTAACAGGATCACGAAAATTGCTTTGCCTAACCGGTCAGAGTGCTTACACTTTCAGCGGTCGTGGATTAATTAATAGCGAATTAATAAATTTATGTTATAAAATATTTATACGAAAAACCAGTAACCACAACTGCATCAAAAGCGTAATGCTGACCCATTTTCCTTTTTTCACCAGCGGAGAGATTGTACGTGGCTTCGGGCGCGGCTCCCGTGAACTCGGCATACCCACAGGTATGTACATTTGTATATAGAGACACATATTTACATACAATTCTATTTGAATTTAATACTCAGATTTTGTAACGTGTCATTTTTCCATTTTTACAAATTAAATTTTTATGCTATCATTTTAAATTTAAATATTTGTTATATTTATGTCTTTTATGTAACATTTAGCAAACTTTTCTTTGGAAGTGGTGAAGTCACTACCTGCAGAAGTTCCTTTGGGAATTTACTACGGTTGGGCTAATGTTGATAATGGTGAAGTATACAAAATGGTCATGAGCATAGGCACGAATCCCTACTATGACAATAAAGAGAAAAGTATGGTAAGTGATATAAAATAAAAATTTTGCCGTAATAATTGAAGCGTAACGCATAAAAAAACTTGTTATTATATTTGTATCATACATATCTGGATATACAGACATACGTGCGAACATACATATAAAGTGCGTTCCACATCAAGATAGTATGTATATTTACTGGGCATGTTTTTTCCAATAAGACAAATTGCGTCAACTTCAAATATAAAATTTGAAATATTTGTTTTCATTATCTGATAATTATCAGTTTTAGTTTCTTGCAACCAATAGAAATATACCTTGTTAAATTAAATTTTGAAGTGGATAATAAGGGTTCCGAAATTTGCAATGGGTTTTAAATAAACAGTAAAAAAAATTACTGAAAAAATTAGGAATGGAAAGCGATGGCAAATGTTCTTCGTGCTCGGACATATTTTTCGGGCTAATTATTCAACATGTAAAAATGATGTTTCAGCTGTTTTTAACTCGTGTAAGAAAGTACAATACTCAAAATAAATTTTTCGTTAGTTTTATTGTTTTTGTAAGAGAAATATACATACATAAATTGCTTTCACACATAAATAAAGTTACTTATGGTTCTGTTCGGTGACCTGATGGGTAATAAAAATTGTTACGTGTTACGCTTGCGGTAAAAAGTGCACCGAGGCATCGAAATTCTGACATTTTCTTACTGGTGAATTCTTACTGACATTTCCCAATATATTTATTTATAATATATAAAATAAAAGCTTACTGCCAAAAATATTAATACCAGTCTAAAAAAAAGAAATAGGCGCGAAGTGTCTATATTCTCACACTTTTATACATTTTTTGCCAAATGCATTAGGTTGATATCAAGCTCTTTGTTTGTATCTCTTACAGGAGAATAAAGGGTCAATTTATTTTATACTAGAAATAATAGCTTCCCATAATAACTTAGATCTTTCCATTTGTAGAAAAAATGATAGATAACAAATTAGTGAAGCTTGACTGAAAAACATTAAAGTTGTTACTGTTTTCCAATTTTATATAAAATTGCGAAAAAAATAAACCAAAAAGTTCCAAGGGTGTTTTACTTTTCCAAAAAATTAGCTGTTCTAAAGGATTTTCAAAATCGAAAAAGTGCACTAAAACATATTCTTTTGGGTATAACACGTTAAATAAAGCTCTATGACAAACAATTTGGAATTGACCAATTACGAAAGACTTCAACTTGTTCGAACGAGCTGCCTTTGCAAACATCAGTATATATATTTTTCATTCCCATTCAATGTTTCTTTATTTTATAAAATACAGCTGAACCATGATAAACCATCTAATTATCCATTTCCGTATATACCTTGACAAAGTTTAAATAGTGTTATCTTGACCTTTTCAGCTCTGCTGACATATTTTTAAAACACCTCACACATTTAAACGCTCATGAATCGCTAAATTTGTCTAAGAAAAACGAATTAGAATCAGAATTAATAAGTTTTTTAAACCGGCTAACTTAGCCTAAGCACTAATAACCTTTGAGTGATACTACTGTATATATATGTACATATGTCTGTATCTATAAATTTTTTAAAAAATTTTATTTTGTCTTGAAGATTTTCATATTATCAAAACGAAAATGATATTGTTCCGTTAGTTGAGCATCTCTATGTTAAATGCATACTTCGAACACATCTATTAAATGCACAGCGAGACAAAACTCTTATGTATGTATGTGAATCAGTTTAAGGTTTAGATTAGTCTATTCGATTAAATTAAATTATTGGAAAAAACCTGCATATCTTTTCGAAAAAATCAACTTGTCAACACCTAGTCTTGTTTGTTTTATACACTTCAGTAATAAGTCATGTGCTTTCAATTTAATGGGGGAATATCTATCAAAAGCAATCAATCGTTGGCAAAACACTTAAGTATGTATTGGGTTGCCCAAAAAGTAATTGCGGATTTTTTAAAATAAAGTAAATGCATTTTTAATAAAACTTAGAATAAACTTAAATCAAATATATAAATGCCATTTTGTTCGATAACCTTTTGCCATCTTCCTGGCAAATTTAGTATTCCACGCTCATAGAACTTCTGGCCTTTATCTGCAAAAAACTGAACCGAGTGTAATTTTATAGCGTCATCATTGCCGAAAGCTTTACCATTTAAGGAGTTCTGCAAAGATCGAAATAAATGGTAGTCTGATGGTGCAAGGTCAGGGCTATATGGTGGATGCATCAAAAGTTCCCAGCCAAGCTCACTCAGTTTTTGGCGAGTGACCAAAGATGTGTGCGGTCTAGCGTTGTCCTGGTGGAATATGACACCTTTACGATTGACCAATTCTGGTCGCTTCTCCTTGATGGCTGTATTCAATTTGTCCAATTGTTGACAGTAAACATCCGAATTAATCGTTTGGTTCCTTGGAAGCAGCTCAAAATATACGACACCCTTCCAATCCCACCAAACAGACAGCATAACCTTCTTTTTGTGGATATCAGCCTTTGAAGTGGTTTGAGCTGGTTCACCATGCTTGGACCATGATCGTTTTTGACTAACGTTGTTGTAAACAATCCAGTTATGATTCGTTTTAAAAACGGATCGAATTCATTGCGTTTCAGGTGCATATCACAAGCGTTGATTCGGTGTGTTAAATGAATTTATTTCAATACATGTGGTACCCAAATATCAAGCTTTTTCATCAGTCCAAGACTTTTTATGTGCTAATGAACGGTTGATTTTGCTATATTTAACTTCTCTCCTATCTCACGCTCAGTTACATGACGATCCAATTCGATTAAAGCTTTGATTTGGTCATCATCAACTTCATTTGGCCGACCTGAACGTGGCTCATCTTTAAGTGAAAAATCTCCAGAACAGAATTTGCGAAACCAATTTTGACACTATCTTCCTTTTAAGGCTTCATCACCATACACACCTCTTTTTAGCAACCTGCTCCGCGCTTTTTCCTTTACGGAAATAATAAAGTAAAATATGACGAAAATGCTCCTTTGTGGGCTCCATATTAAAATTGACGCCAAACAAACAAATGTAAACAAAATTTCGCGCATTTTTTTTTCTAAAGCAAGCTAAAAGTAACAGCTGATAACTGACAGAAGAAAGAATGCAATTACAGAGTCACAAGCCGTTGAAAAAATTTGTCAACGCCGACTAATGAAAAATCCGCAATTACTTTTTGGGCAACCCAATATATCCACCCGGTTGGTATTTATCATCCCCGCATTGAGTATAAAATTTTGAAATTTGCGAGCCTTTCATTCATGGCAAAGTTGAATAAAAAAAACGTAATTTGATACTAAGAAATGCATTACAAAATGGTCATGAAACAAGCGATTCCAGCCTTATTTTAAAAGCATCTTAATTTAATATAAAGTGATAAAGTAAAGTCTTTCTATCCGCCTTCTTAATTCTAAATTTCTTTGTCTTGTTTTGACTCGACGAATTGTTGGTTCCCACTTTACGTGTCTTTAGTGTTTTATCAGAATATTATCGGTTTGATCGGTCTAAGTCGCCGAGGTCATCTAGTGGTAAGGAAAAGAGCTGTTTCGACGGGGTTGGACCAGAGAGAGAGGGGGGTTAGATGAGTTGGTTTGAGAGGGCATGTGAAGATATGGTTAGTATCGTGCGGAGACTCTCCACATCGAATGGCGTTCAGTGCTTGTCTGTACGCCGTCCTGTCCAGCAGTTGTTGTACATATTGCTGGATTGTGATCTTTAAGTCCAGTACTCCCTGATGTGCCTAGGTGGAGGTTCAGCTTCTATTAGGTGCCTACTGGGGTACACCCTGCGGTAGCATCCCAATAGGAACTGCTTGCACAGCAAAGCATTATTCTCCTTAACTCGTAGCATAGACGCTTCGCTGTGCAAGTGATGCTCCGGCGACATCAGGAGGTTTCCTGTCGCGGTCCTGAGGGCGGTGTTCTGGCAAGCCTATAGCTTCTTCATCTGCGTCTCGATCGTCCCCGGCGCCCAGATCGGTACTGCCGGCTAGCGCTTTGAGTATTTTGTTGCGGCTCTAGAGTTTTGCGGCAATTGCGGTCGTATACGGAGTGCAGGAGTGCAGGCTGTCTAGTGTTACTCCCAATATTTTTGGGTTATTTACCGTTGGAATTTTTGGGTCATCGACCTTCACATCTAGTTCAAGGCTGTACTCCTTCGTCCAGCTGGTGAAGAGGGTAGCCGAGGATTTCGTCGTTGTCTCTGCTTAATTTTGTATTAGGCAAAATCGCCTATAGAAAGAGTATTTTTGACTGCGCAGTACTGGTTGCTTCACTTAGTTTAGCTCAGTTTCATCTGCCGACTAATAAGGATGTTGCTCTTGCTGCCTTCACCACAGGAGTGCTGGCATTTTGGGCAACTCTCGTCCAAAACTCCATTTGTTCAAATTGTTACCGAAAGGATAATGTATCTGCCTCTGCCATGATAAATATTAATAAGTTCCACTAAGAGAAAGTAGAAGTAGTTAATGATCGGTACGGATTATCCATCAGACTGCTGTGATTTTGCCTGCTGTTCTTAAAGATATTGCCTTTGTCACGAAGGTTGATACGTCATGTGTAGTTCATATATCTCCAATTAAATCCAATTAAATTATATACTCAATGGTATAGAAAAGTTAGTTTCTGAACTTGCTGCGATTTTTGTTGATGTAAAAATTGTTGATATTGCTGTTGATTGAAGCGTTAATTGATATTTTAAGTCTTCATAAATAATCAATTCAATTTCAATGAATGAATCACAGCAGGATCGAAGTTTCCTTTTATAAAAGTATTTTTTATTTCTTGTCGCAAAAAGAACAGCAGTAAATTTAGTAATTGTTTGATTTTTCTTTTGTAGTTTATGATAGACGTTATTTAATGAAAGAAAATTGCATAATTAAAAATCAGTTGTACAAATTTATGATAATACACAAGCACACGCACACACACACACACACATATATATATATATATATATATATATATCTATATATGTATATATTATATAAAGTTGTATTTTAAAAAGTTTTAATTCACAGGATCGCTAATTATTTAGAAAAGTTAGTTTCCAAATATTAAAATAAAGAGTTTAATATTTTATTTTTTAAATAAAATTTATTGAACATAAGCTTTATATTTAAAAATGAAGATTATAATGATTCAGAAAAATGAAAATATTTTAAATTAAAAAATCAGTGACATGTAAATTAAGAAATTGAAAATCGTAAGTGACAAATGTTAAAATAGATTCCTACAAATAGTAACTACTGGGCTGTTGCGCCCTCTAATGGCGACCTAAAAAATGTGACAGACTTTATTTTGATAGTTGTAAAGACAAAAATGCTGGATCAAATTTTATAGACGCACACAAGTGGAGGAGTATGTTTCTCTCATCAAGGAGCTAGTTTCAATATAGGTGGCAACGCCACTCCAAAATCTGATGCTGGTGTAGAAACAAATCGATGTATTTTGGACTCTTTGGAACAGAACAGTGACACTGACTGCCTTGCCGCAGTTGGTTGCTATGAATAATAATTTCAGATAAATGAGTGCAATCACATACTGAAATTTTTATTTTTGTAAATACATATGTACATATATGAAATTAAATTGCAGAAACTAGTTTCAGAGTGATCACGCGTTGAAATTAAAGTTAAAATGGATGGAAATTTAATTTACGTCTTGCGGCACCTCAAGCCTGGAGTTGTGTTCTTATAATGGATTTAAAAAAAATCAACAGACAATTGCAATGCCTTCTTAATTTTAATGAATTACCCTTAAACATCTTGATGGTGCCACAACTGGACTGAAGCGGTTGCAAATTTAAACAATTCGACGTTAATTTGCTAGAAGTTGGCAGAAAGGATTTCAGTAAAGATAAAAAGTACTTAAAAGCATACGAAAAATGTACTTCTCGCGATGCAGTCAGATCAAAGTAATGCAAGCAGATAATTTGCTATTAAAACAATTCCACATCGTAGACACCAAACTTCAAACACAGAAACGTACAAATCCGCTTCCAAAGCCTCACATTTTCCGTGTGTCATCGGTTAATTTGAAAGTGACGAGTACTTTAGATTTCATTTCTTGACCATCTGAGATTCCTAATGAGCCACCTATTTTGTGGGAAATTTCAGATGATGTTTTTGTAATAAAGACAAGTCCAAAATTCGTTCTATGACTGGTCTTTGTCATTAAGTTCATTGCTGAAGCTTCAACTCAAAATCGTGGATTTGAAGCTTGTGTCGGCTACATAAGAACCGCACTGCGTTCCAGAGAAACTGCACCTTCATTTGATTCTAAGAAATCGTTTATTATAAAGGTTGTTTCACAGTGGTCTTCCTCGCATTGTATTTTTTTTTTGGTTGGATTCTTGCATCTCCTAACATCAAGTTATCTGTTTTAACACTTTGTCATGAATGAAATTTAGTTTACATCTGTAGACAGGCAGGAAAACAATTACAGACATGCCTCAAAGTGAGTACATTTCATACAAATTTCAAACCTTATATAGGTTAGGTGTGATAAAAGTAAATATCAAACTGTTGCGCTAATATTTTTTCGGCTCTAATTTGATGCAGTTACATAAGTTTTGGCTGAGCTTTGATATGCAGCCCCACTTGATATTGTAAGCAAACAACCAGGAATTTCGACATGAAACTTCGTAGGAATGATGACAGAAATATATTTTTCCAATATTTTAACTTTTGGAATTTGAATATATTAAAGTTTATAAGTTATTTGTTGTTATAAAGTGTTAACTTTATTCCATTATTTCTTTATGAATCGGTCACTATTCTTTCATTTTTGTTTAACAAAAACTAATATTACTTTGATTTTATCAAATAGTTTCACTTATTTTGTATATATAAACGCGCAATGTGACTTAAATAAAGATTAACAAATTATATTATAATCAAAACAAATGTTCACTTAAACATGGCTGCATACTAATATGGATGGTGTTGCCGTACAGGGTAAGATATTCTGTAAATTCGACAATATTCAGCAATGAACATGGAAGGCGGTGCCGTACCATGTAAAATATTATACAAATTAAACAATATTCAACAACATTATATGAAAACAAAACAAAATGAAAATTTACTGTGCTAGGCGAAGCCGGTGTAGGTCCGGCCCAGGGTTACAATCCAAAGCGCGGCCGAAGGCCGCCAATTTACAAAGGAGTTTCACTTAAGAATACTGTGCAAGGCGAAGCCGGTGTTGGTCCGGCCTAGGGTTACAATCCAAAGCGCGGCCGAAGGCCGCCAATTTGCAAAGGAGTTTCACATAAGAATACTGTGCAAGGCGAAGCCGGTGTTGGTCCGGCCCAGGGTTACAGTCCAAAGCGCGGCCGAAGGCCGCCAATTTACAAAGGGGTTTCACTTAAGAATACTGTGCAAGGCGAAGCCGGTATTGGTCCGGTCCAGGGTTACAATCCAAAGCGCGGCCGAAGGCCGCCAATTTATAAAGGAGTTTTACTTAACTTAAAATTTTTAAGTGAATAACATTTTATTTTTTAAACAATTTCTTTATTATATTTTCCTGCATATTTATCCTTAATTTATAAACCTTTTTACTGAGTGGCTACGCCTGCCTAGCCAAAATACAAACACACAAGCTCTGTACTTATTATTTTACTTAGTAGTCCGGCAACTCCAATGTAGACGTAATTTTGCATTTATTACTCGAAATTTAAAATAGAATTATTAAAAAACTATAAGTCAGCTAAATAAAAGAAAATTAGTTTTAGAATCTATGATTTTTCCTCTTTCCATCCATATAAAATTTATTTGCGAAAGCCTGTGGCTCTAAACAAAAATTTTACCTCCATGAGCAGAGAGATTCATTGGTTAGCACTTCTTCAAAAACGAAGACGACCACAATGTTATATTCAATTACAAGGAGTGACTTTCTTGAAATAGGGATGCTATAGAGCCTTGATCTACGACTTTTTCGTGCCAGAATTGTTAGATGTTGATATGGACGACATTTGGTTCCAACAAGACTGCGCTACATGTCACGTAGCCAATGAAGGAAACTTTTGGTGAGCACATACACTCGCGCCTTTGGCATGTGGCGCTATTGCTCACGTACTGTATTGCTACAAAAGTTAGGCCTTCCGGTTGGAATTTGTAGGAGCAAGCTACGAAAGTCACTTGCGCGAAATCATTTTTATTTCTTCTTTAAAACCACATGTCTAAAAATCCGTAATAATTATTATTTGGAACAGAGGGGGAACTGAATACCTTAGTGTGTAGTGATGAAAAATACTATTTATATAGATATGTATATACATTTTTCAATTTATCAGATTTTGATTTAAATCATGTTATATATTACATAATCTAAGTGGTATTTTATTATTTTTGAAATTTAATTCTTTTATGTAGTTAATTTGGCTAACAAAATATTTAATGCAACTATTGTTAAAAAAATAAAATGATCAAAACTTATAAACTTGAAAAATCTATCTACAATTTATACAAAACAATTTTATTTTGCATTATACTGCGGAAAGTAATGCTTTAATATTTTGATGCTTTAATATTTTTCAAGAAGTTAATTTCCAAAAATAGGTGATAATTAATAATTTATTTCATTAAAATAAGGCAAAATAATGCAAGAATTATAATTTATAATTAATGAACTAACGCGAACGGACTTCAATGTTTCTTATAAATTTTGCTTAAGAAAAATAGGTTGAATTCAAAACCACAACTAAAAAGAATTGTGTGTTTCTTTTGTTCATTTTCTTATTGAATAGGACTTCGTTTTGCCTTCTCCAAATTTTAAAAATTGCCTGTTAAGGTGTTTTTAAAATGCCTTAATGATATAAAGATCCATACTTATATATATACATATGTATATATGTACATATACATAAATGTGAGTATGTAGCGGAATGCATTCTAGGCACCGAGTTCTTGGGTGTTGTTTTTCGCCATTTCTGCAGTCAGTTGGAAAAAGGGAAAAAATGTTTCCATTTGGAAGAGTAATGCCTAGAATGGGGAACAGCAGACAAAAATAATATAAAATAACAATAACCATTATATTTTTGTATTTACATATGTACATGTATAGGTAGATAGATATAGAGATATGAAAACGGCTTCGAAAGCAAAAGTGATCCATTAAGAAGAGTATTGTTTTTGTAGTGCATGCATTTAACTAAATATTACATATATACATACGTAGTGTTGATTTCAAAGAAAATATTAGCAGAAAGAAATAATCGTGCGAGCGCAGTTTAATTGGATAAGTGCTGGCTGGCTTCACATAAAATAAAGCTAACAGAAAAATTAATAAAAAAAAAAACAACTGTATGTAATTGAACTGGCCAAGAAGAAGAAGCAGTAAGGCAGAGAGCAGCAACAGTAAAAACCACTCAAAGGAGGTAAATAATACCATTATAGAGTTGTATTGATCTAAGTACAATATTATACGATTATGAGCAAGTCATTCCGCCACTATGAAATTATTTAGTTTTAAATGCATACTCCATCATACATACATATGTACATAGGTTCGAAGAACATTTCTCAAATAATTTTTTCACAAATGTTTTTCTTCTGGAATAAAGTTAGTCAGGTCTTGGTTAAGATTGGTATGAGCATGTACATATGTATATACGTATATATATTGCATTAAGTGTAAGTGAGTTAAGTGCACAAATATAACATACACGTACAAATGTAGCCAAGAATGATGTATTATAGATTACATCTTTGGATTTTGCTGTTGTTTATATGATTACTGCCCATATATAATATTAAGAGAAATTATGAAAATAAAATTTTTTTGGAGCAGTTGATACATTTTTTTACAAAATTCAAATATTTTTCTTTGTTAGAAATAAGTGAGCATAAATATTCAACAAATTTTATCTAGTTAATGTTTTGGCATATTTTTAAACTGCATCCCGTGAGATGCTTTCCTAGCAGATTTTCATTATAAAAGCTTTGGTAATTAACAGATATTCAATAATTACTTCTGGTGAAATCATGTTTTGCAACATTTCTTCACTTGGCGGGGTTAATCCACATTCATTCAAGTGAGCAGTCTATAAAAAAAGATGGATCGCTATGAGTTTTAGTGATCGTGCTGAGAATTTCATCACGTAGTCTATAGTATAAATATGTTATACATCTATCCGGTTACATTTTGTAGGCCATCATGCTCCAATTCGTCCTCATTTCGCTCAGCTTCGCTTTCTACTCGAAAGTTTCGCAATATCACACCTATGTATATAAAAGGAAAGGCACCTGGATGAGTGCAATTAATTAAAATCGGAAATTGTGCACCTACCCGTAAAAATTGCGTGATAAACTTCCAAGGTAGAGCCATGATAAACTGCTGTATTTCAGTCAGAGGTTACAGTGTCTTAATTATATCCAAGAATATAGGTTCTAAGCATATATTTTAACTCTTTTGCACGCCGGAGTGATCGTACTACCCGCCTTTAAATAGGCTGAAGAAGTAAATAAATTACTTTCCGCTTCTGGTTGTCGACTTAGTGGCGTAGAGGTAGTAGCAGTGCTGTCGAAGGCAGCTTACAATCGATGAAAATGTGACTCTTTACTTACGGGACAGACAGATTTTGTACGAAATAGCAGCTTATCGTTCAGATTAACATGCAGAAATCGGATTTTTAAATCTTATTCATGATTTAATTTGTTTGAAATTCTTTCCCGGGTCCGCCAGTAATAATCATAAAACCAAAAAAGAATCAAACAGAACTCAACTAGCAGATTGAATTTGTGAGCATCTTATCGGTGACATTATCTTCATGAATGCTCGCGTCGCCGCGCTCTACGTATTTTTTTTATTTGCTTGCCATTACTCATAGTTAATGAGCTTATTTTCCGCGGCATCGACTCAAAATTACTCAGGTATACTTACATTAGCTATTTATTATTTTTTCCTATTGTTTCTATCGGCTCGAACGTACTGATTACTGTGTGCTTAATTTCTTATTACTTCTTATAGTGTCTCACACCACAACAATGTGGGAGTGAACAATAAATCACACCTATTTTTCCACCCTAGGGTAAGAATTTCTGTTTTTATCTTTCAATTTTATATGGGACAATCGCGCTCTAAGTGGTGAAGAGATAGGCGCGATCATATTGTAAAACATCCCTTTCCATATCCACAGGGTAAGAATTTGTATCACAGATTTATGAGAATCTACGAAATAAAAACAAAGAATGGCAGGACTTGCAAGATAACACTTTAAAAGCAGTAAAAGGATGGCTCTTACCCCTCTGGTTAATATAAAAAATTATCAAAATCAGTCTACTCGGTGAAAAAATATACAAGACAAATTGAGAAACCTCTTTTCCTTTGGTCGAAAATAGAAAAAACATATATTGTATATCAGAAAATATTCAATTCACACAAACAAATAGGCCTTTAGCTCACTAAAAAGTTATAACAAAAATTAATATTATAGGCTGCAACAATTAATTGATTTTGGAAATTTAAAGTGGACATTGTAGTATTTTTATTCATTTTATCTTTCAAACTGTTTAAGTAACTGCAATGTTGCGAATTTATTTATTTTAATCTCATCTTATAAAGTTTTATGATGTCAGGAGTGCACGGAAATTTTTTTCGATATTTGATAGTTTGTTAAAAAATTTTTCGCATGGCGGTAGAAAACCACTGAGAAGTAATAAATTATAAGAGTATACGCGTATATGTATCTTTTGTATATTATAATTTTAGTGTAAAAATATTTTTTCACGCACCAACAAAAACGCGAGTAGTCCATGCACGCGGGCAATAAAGTAATTCAAAACTAACCACAATAAAAAAATAAATATATATTCTACGTCTGCATAACATCCAGTTATTCATTGAGTTCCTAGTTAGTTTTGAAATAACTCTAAAAATATACTCCATAAATTCCAAAAGTTAGTCTCGATTACAAACCATTATGGTGAAATGTTAATAAATTATTGTCAAACATATTTCAATTTACACATTTGTTCCATTTGCATTGCAAAATATTCGCTCAATCTTAGCACGCCTTCTGTGCACCATCAGAGCTCACCAACGAAACGAAACGGACTCAATTTCATTTTCACACATTTTTTGTATACAAGTATGCGTATGCACATCTTATTGCACATGTGTCTTCATTAAGTAATTACAATCGTTAAAACACGAGCGACCATCGGTTAACAACAAACTGGCAGCGAGACAAGAGTTGGTCCAATAGTACACTACGGAGGGTAGCCTATTGGAATACTTCAATGAACCATATGGTCCACAAATGTTTGTGGGGCGTTTATGCGTGTTAAATGTAGTGTGCATGTTATTTTCTATACCCATCCATTAATAGATATGTACGTATGTACGTACATACGACCGTTTGGATTTTCGGGGAATTTTGCGAATGACTGTGAAAGTATCATTTATTCATTTAGAAAATACGTATACATGTATACAATATTAAAATATAGAAAATTTTGCAATTACATAAAAGCATGATATATTGGTCTAGTAGTCCAATTTTTTTGCTATAGGTGGCTTTAGTGTGACCTGTACCTCGTGTTCTATATCTGCGATTGGATTACACTGTGTGTTTTTTTTAAATACAATCATCTCATAAAATTCTTTCAGCTACGCGAAGACGAAGACGCCCCTAATAAACTGAAGTCTATTTGTTGGAGAAACATCAAGACACATACCACAAATTGGAAGAGAGATTTGGCCGAAAATCGCTTCAGTGGTTATAGTCCTATATGAAAAGCAAAGTTTTGTTGTATGGAAATGGGACATGATTGAAGGTCGCCCTATTTTGGACTTATGTTAAGTTTATTTAGCGAGTTTGAAAAATGTGATTTCCATTAATGTATTATTTATAGTGAAGGTAAAAGTAATCTCTTACTACATTTCATGAAGAAGAATAGTTGGTGTAACGCTGCTGTGATGTTTGGTCAGTTTCACGTCCACTTCCCGGAACAAACATATAATCTGAAGTGTAGTTTTGGAGGTCGTAGAAAACAAACATACGTAAAAACATATCTTTATCTATATGTATATGTATATAGAGGAATATAGAAGATAGGTATAACAAATACTTCAGTGACAGTCATGTAATATTCAAATCAAGGCGAATCTATAGATGGTGAAGTTGTCACAACATATGATTGCTTGCTCTTCCTTCCATTTCAACAAATTAATCAAACAAAATATTTACATGAGAAATATGTTTTGACATTACGAACTTTCTATTACGCACACAAAATTCATTAGAAGATTTTCGTTTTTGACGTTTGTTTTTGTCTTCTTGCTACTACCGTGTGTGAATTTGCTTTGATTCGAATATATACGTACAGTGGCTCACAGTTAAAGTGATGCAGCTACTTAGGAAATAGTATAATGCGTTTTATTTAAAAAATTAAATAAATTTTCCAAAAAAACATGAATGCCAGTTAATAGCCCCAGATGTACACATTTGATTGATGCTTTAAAAATTTATATTTTATGTAATTTTTAGCAAAAACAAACTTCAGTATTAAATTGTACCTCACAGCGAATATGATGCAGTAACAAATAAATTAATAAATTTATTTTTTTTAAAGAACAAAACTATAATTGTATATTAATTAATATTTACTAGAATATTCCTTGCTGTCTATGACTGCTTCCATACGTTTGGCTATGGATTACACTAACTTCTTCGTGTAGTGATGAGCAATATTGTTCCATTCTGTTTGTAGGGATTTTTTTAAGTCCGCTTGATTTCGAATCTCATATTTTCGAATATCTCGTTCCAACAGATTCTCAATGAAATTCAAATCTAGAGATTGCGCTTGGGCTGTTACAGCTCTAAATAAGCCAACTTTGCATAACGTCTGATTTGTATTTCGGATCATTGTCTTGATAGTAACGAAACTTTTCCCGAATATTTAATTTTGAGGCACTTTGCAAAAATTACTTTTTAAAATGTCCAAATACACAGTATTATCCATAGTACTATTGATGAAATCCAAATTTCCAACTCCAGAAGACGACATGGATTCCCATACCATTCCATACCCTCCACCATGTTTTACAGCGCTATGTAAATTTTCCTGTTGTAACACAGCATTTGATTTTCTCCATAGATAGCTCTTTCCATCTGACCTAAACAGGTTGAATTTTCTTTCGTCCACAAAAATTACGGTGTCCCAGAAACTTTCATCGTATATAAATGGTCATTTGCAAACTTCAGCCTTGCAATTTAATTTTTAGAACTGACATATGGTTTATTTCCAGCTATGCGGCCATAAAAATCAGCTTCTCTGTGGATTTTTTGTATGGTTTCTGTGTTACAGCTTTTTGCAAGATATTTTAGCACTTCTTTACCTAGAGCTGGAGCACATAACTGGCTGTTTTCGAGTATTTTCCGTAAAATTGATTGGGAATCACTTTCGTTAAATATTTTATTAGAAGCCGTTTTAGTTTTAATTAACATACGACTTTTACGAACATAGCGTTCAATGATATGCTGAACAGTTCCTTGGCTCAATTTCACCATTTCCGCGATTTTACGCTGACTTTTACCATCTTTATAATGTTTTAGGATTAATTCAAATTCGTCAACAAGACGCCACTACTAACGAAATCTTTGTGTATCGTTTTCGCAGTGAGGTACAATTTAATAGTGAAGTTTATTTTTGTTGTAAATAACATAAAATAAACATAAATTATAAAATTTTTAAAGCGTCAATGAAATGTGTATATCTGCGGCTATTATCTGGCATTCATGTTTTTGGAAAATTTATTTAATTTTTTAATAAAATTTATTATAATATTTCTTACGTAGCTGCATCACTGGCTTGTAAGCCACCGTATATTCTCTTTATGAACTGTTTTCTTCTCTTTTATGATTGCTTTGTCATGGATTAGATGATGCCGCTTGTTTACTTTATACTTACCTACATTATCTTGTTTACCAAAATTGTTTTCTTTAAACAAAAAATTCCATAAGCGCTCAATGCCTGGAAGTCAATACACCATAGCAATTAATAATGATTAATCTGCTTAATTTTTTATGATTGTTCATGCCTCCGCAATATATAGCAAGACGGGGATGATGAGAGGCTTGTAGAGTACGGTCTTTGCTTGTCGAGAGGGAGAATTTACTTTACATATGCCTTGGTGTTGCTTAAAGTTTGTTTACAGAGCCTTTCAGTTATGCGGGGATAAAAACTAAGACATATCGTGCTGCCGAAGATTACTTTAAAATCGAAAAAGAAGTCGAATGTGTAGATCTTCATTTTAAGAGTCTTTTCCAAAATTTAGCCCATTGTGAATATCTTGTCAATAGGTGATTTACCAGGTCTGAAGCCGCACTGATAAGTTCCAATAAGTTTGTTAGCGGTGGGCTTTAGTCTATCATACGCTTGATCGAGCCTTATATACGATATTGAGGACGCTTATTCTAAGTTAATGGGCGCAGACAGTAGGGATCGTTCTTTTATGTGTTGGGCACAGAGTATGCTATCGTCCGACCATATTCTGTATAGTTCTCCGCCACTGGAATGCCTCGGCTCCCGCTGGTTTTTTTTTCAAGTGAACGATTACTATTCAAACTTCTTTATAATCGGGCAATAGAATATGTGTTCCACTCTCATCGATTGGGGAAACGGGACTCTGCATACTCGCACATCCAGCTTTCTTTTTTTTTCCTGAACATACATATGTATGTATAGATAAACAAATTAATCTATATATGTATATGTGTTTATATACAAACGAAGAAAAACTTAGAGAAGTGTGTATTTTCTGAGAACCTAATAATTTAATTAATTGTGCTCCTTGATTTACCTTTATAGTGGGTGGAATACCGAAACGAAGAACATAATTTTGAATAAATATAGTTGCAACAGAAACCGTTGAAATGTCTTTAAGTGGATATGCTTCCGCCCATCGAATGTCTGTCAATGATTGTTAATATGTATGATTGTCTTTTGAAACTGGAAGAGGTCCTACATCTAGTAGGAATATGTTCAAATCCGCCAGAAGGAATATTAATCTTTTGAATTGGAGTTTTTGTGTTCGTAGTAACTTCAGATTTCTGACAGTTAGTGCAAGATGATGTCCAACTATTAATTTCTTTACGCATATAAGTCCAAAAATATTTATTGAATGAGACGTCGAGTTGTTTGAACACTTAGATGTGATAAAGAATTTTTTCAAAAATAATTTTTCTCATTGAATTAGGAACATATAGTCCAAAAGGTTTTTGTGTAACATCACACCAAATATTTAGATTTAGAATAGGTATATTAATTTCTTTGAAATTACAATTAGCATTTGGATCTGAAATAATATTTTTAAGTATTTCGTCTTTCTGTTGTTCTTCATAAAGATATTGAAAATTTATGTCTTTTGTTGAAATTGATTTAATTTCGGGAACACGAGAGGGAGTATCGCAATTTTATTATAATA